CCCCCCCCCCGCCTCGCCGCCAAACAGACAATATAGTTCCTTACAACCTTAAAACTCTCTAGTAGTGAATATACTGCCAGACGGAGGTGTCAGGATAACTGCATCGGACGCACAATCATCGATTGCACTGAAGACTCTTGTATTGGAATAGTAACACTCTGTTGGTCGCCCAAAAGTTACGAACACCGTTAGTCGCGCCGTAAACGCCGCGCCGCAGCAGCATAAATCAACATAATGATAAATTTGAAACATCTAGGAAAAGTCTAATAAAAATCAAGAGTGATCTTGATTTTTTATGTTCAGTGTTACCCTTTAATTATATATTCATGCTCAAAATTGCCATATTTTTATGACAATTCGCCTTATATATGGTACACGACCCGGCGTTTCGGAATAACAGTATATTAGAGTACAAGGGCACAAATTTCGTTTTCGACGAATGTGAAGTCTGTATTCACATTCGTTGAAAACGAAGTTTATGCCCGAGTGGTCTATACTATTTTATGCCACATCGGCGCGCCATAAACGGCGTGCGATAAACATCGGTGTGCCATAAACTACTTTTTTGTCATTCCGGCCGTGAGGCAGCGCTTCACGGACGCTCCGCTCCGCTCCGCGTCCGTGAATCTCTGCCTACGGCCGTTATAACAAAAAATACTGTTCGTCATATGGCCAAAAAAAACTTTTCTAGCTCATATGATTGCAGCCCTCGCCTTCGGCTCGGGCTGCAAACTCATATTCGCCAGAAAAGTTTCTTTCGGCCTAGTGACGAAATATACTATATGCCACATCATGCAGAAGTCGAGTTTGAAGCACGCTGCGCGTGCGATAAACACGGCTTATTGCACGGCGTGCCATAAAAATTTGAAAATCTAACTACTTGTGGTATTTTTGGCGGATATTTTTATTGATAGGGCTTCTAGACCCTTCAAAATGAGATGTCAAATTTTTTCAAATTTTTCGGAGGCTTTACTGCAGAGTAATTTAAACAAGCAGGGGGCTGAGCCTATTCGACTGAAGAAATACGATTGTTTCTTTATGTGTTGTTAGTCTTTTCATTTTTCATCTCTACCAATTTTATTGGTAGTAAGCTTCCGAATGGATCGGTTGCAATTCTATTCTTAAAAAATAATAAGATAAAAATTCTGTTTTGTGGTGAATAAAAAATTTCAGTTTCTGTAAGAGGCAAATTCTCCGATTTTCTCAATTTTCAAGTAAAACAAGAGGAAACTTCGTGCCAAACTTCCGATTAATATGTCAATTTTTTCCAAAGTTAGAGTGCAAAGACGGATTTTTAGCGAAAAATCGAAAAATTTGAATTTCTCGGGAACTTTGCATGCATCACTTGCATGAATTGTGTATATTCCAATTGGTTGCAACAGAAGACATTGAGATGAATATTTTGAAAAAATTGAAATCGGTTGGGTAGTTTTTGAAATATTCAAGAACATAGATTTGGATACAAAGTCGAATATCGTCTAAACTATCCATCCGATTTAGCACATCTTCAATACCAAATATTTTAGTGCCAAGAGGAAACTTTGTACCAAATTTCAAGTTAATATGTTAATTTTTAGGAAAACTAGAGTGCTAACAAAAGTTTTTAGCGAAAAACCGAAAAATAGTAATATCTCGAAAACTTTGAATGAACAGTTTAGATATTTTGATAGATTGCGATAGAAGACATCAAAACAAGTATTTAAAAAAAATTGAAATGGTTGGATAGTTTTCGGGATATTTGCAAAAACGATTTAAAAACAAATGATGATTTCTCAAAAATGGCTGAACCGATTCAGCTGAACTTTTGCACAGACTTATTCCTCGTTAATACCTATAATCTGACAAAATTTCAAATTTTTTGGAATTATTTTAGCCCTTTATTCGTTTAATTTTCTAAAAGTTGACCATCAAGTGGACCAAGTTGACCACGCTTACATACATACATGGTCCTCATACTTCGTATTTTTACGTTTCAGACCATTCTACATCATTTCTAGGCAAAATTAGAGAATCGAAAAACCGAACGATTTCAATGTTTGCATTCGGAAGCAAAAATCGGAAAAAGTGTGGCGCGGCGGTCATAGCGCGACCAACGAAGTGTTAATACCTGATAAGTTGAATATGACCGAAATTCCGAACGATATTTTAATAACTAAAATGTGAAATGAAAAAGCCACTGTGACCTTTTGTATCAAAATCTGGTATTCTTCAGGTGATTGTATAATTAGCAGGATAAGATGAGTTCACTTATCACGGTATAATACTTTATCATTAAATTATAATAAAATGTCCATCAACTCGCGGCAAATTTTTCTCACTCTGCATGAAGAATCATCCTATCCTACTACACATTATTCAATCACCTTCAGACCTCAGAATCCTTTATGTCGACTGTACCGCTTAATGTTCGCTATCCCTTGGAAAATTCGTGTCTTCAACTGAATTACGAGTTTTTCTCCTCGTCGATCATAAAACATATCATTAGAATTGAGGCTTACAACTAAATGACTATTATTAGTGAAGAATGTGTCTGATGCTACCAGTTACTAGACCGCCTTTCCATGCAGAAAGGAAAATGAAAATTTCGCTTTCACTCTCTAACTGATAAACGGATCGAAAACGAAATTTATCGGGTTGCTTACGGAAGTGATTTAACCTTCGATTGGTCACCATTTGACGGATATGCCGGAGTGCATCATTTTTCTTTAATTATCACTGACTGGTTAACTGGAAAATTTTTAAAAAATTAGACTTTCAAATGAACTGTCTAAAAAATTATAGCAATTTTTGTAAAAACATTATTCTGGAAATTCATAAAAAAAAACAAATTCTTTCCAACAGATGAATTTTTTTTTCGCATGTTAAATGAAACTGCCCGTTACGCGACGTTGACGGGAACTCGCTAAACGCGGATGGGCAGGGTAGAGTGAATTCGGCAACGCTTCGGCCCTGAATCACACGGCGGGGAATCCCCGCGGAGGTGACCAAGTCGCAGGGTCGCGTATGGGGACCAAACTAGGGTTAAGATGTTTCGCGCACAGATTTTCGGGGAGGAGAGAGGTGAAACTGAAGAGGAGTCCTATTGTTATCGAGCCCTATTCAATCGCTGAACACGAAAAATTCAAATTTTCAAATGAAGTTTTCCATTATAATACTGAAGTTTTAAGCTTCAATTTTTTTCGTGAATTAATTGATTTTTTTGCAATCAGTTACGCGCATTGCATTATTTTTGAAAATTTCCTTTGTAATTATCGAAATTGTATAAGAATGCATAGAAATAGTGGCAATGTCGCACGAAGTAGCCATTTCATTTTTCCAAACTGATAGTTCTGCAGAATATTTTACATTATTTATAGAGGCCTCGGAAAATACCTTCGAATTTAGAGTGCGATAACCTCGGCCTTACAGCTGGAGAGGATACAATAACACTGAAAAGTCATAATTTTTTTCTGAAACGCAAGATCTGGAACAATTTTGAAAACATTTTCAGGGATGCAGCATACTCAAATACTTTTTCCCTGAATTTTTCCATTTTTTTTTTCATTTTGACTTTTCCGGATTTGATGTCCATGATCGGCATTTGAAAGGGGTCAATTGAAGAGAAAATGATCAGATTCAGATCCGCTCCACCTGACATTAATTTAATAGGTTTTTCGGATAATTTAATTAACTATTATTTTACTATTCAAATTAAGTTTTATCAATCATTATCAATAATTATTTTCAATCTTTAAAAAGGATCATTATACTATAATTAAAATAAATTGAATTAAATTCATTTAATTTAATGAATTTAATTTAATTAATCAATTTAATTAACAGCCAGCCCTTCTCAAATGTACAGAAGGGAGGGATGATGATGCCGTAAATACGTATTAGAGGAGTATCAAACACACGCAAATGATCTTGAGAAAAAAATTACCAAATGTCCATTTATTTATTAGTGTTATTGTTATTATCATTATTATTATTTATTAATGAAATAAATAAAAATTTAATTGAACATATTTTATCTCTGAGAATATACACGCACATCCGCGAGATCAGGAATAATCTTAAATTCAACGAATACCCCGATACAAATCATATAGGCAATGTACAGTTTACTCAATAGTAATAACATGATAGCGTAGTGGTTAGGGCATAGGATTAGCAATCATAGGGTCCCCGGTTCGATCCCCAGCATCGGTAAAAAAATAATAAGCTTTTTCAGAGTTAATAACAGTAGAGATTCATTAAGAGATACGGCCTACGGTGAAAGAATTAAATTATCTTTTGTTTTGGAATAATTATCATTGATAATTGTTATTGATACTGACAGACAAGTCATCTGGTTTTCATACAGTTGACTTGATCAAGTTCGGATCCATTCGTCCTGATCAAATCCGGATTGGTCGGAGGCGTAACATGTCTGATCAAGACCGGATCCGTCAACTTGATCAATACCTGATCAGTGGTCAGGTCTAACCTGATCCAAACTTGATCAAGACCTGACCGGAATTTCCACTCGGGATCATGAAGTAGTGGAGGAAGATTATCACATTATATTATAACCATTTTAGAAATGGGGAGGTTGAGCGGAAGTCGTAAGAAACAACGGCTCTTAACCCTCTGACGTGAATGGGCATTACCCCCACTCTGTACCATCTCTGTGGGGTGTAGCCTACAATGCATGGTGGAAGCCGCGACATAGGGGAGCGATTTTGCTCGTATTATGTCGACATAAAATCGTAAATTTCAACCAATGACAGTCCTGGATTCGGAATACTCAACTAGGATTGGTTGAAATTTATGATTTTATATCGACATAAAACGAGCAAAATCGCTCCCCAGTCGTCGCCTCAACAGATAAGAGTCTGAAACAGAATAAACTAATTCCACTGTACGGGAGAACTGTGGCGCCCTAGAACCGGTACTGTTACGTTACTGCACGGAGAGAACAATTCAATAAAAATTACCAAAAAAAAACGTAAAAATTACGTTTCGAAACGTAATCCGTGAGCGAAGTAAAATNCACGCAAATGATCTTGAGAAAAAAATTACCAAATGTCCATTTATTTATTAGTGTTATTGTTATTATCATTATTATTATTTATTAATGAAATAAATAAAAATTTAATTGAACATATTTTATCTCTGAGAATANCAATAAAAAGGGTGAGTCGGAACTGAAATTATACGAATCGCCACGTAAATTCTACGATTTGGTCCGTAAAAATTGATCACCCGTCTGATGACTCACCGCTGTGGGGACAACAAGTCGTTCCGTAATTTTTCCCCAACTATTGAGAAATTTTACGGAACGGAACGTAGAAATAACTCACCAGCTTCATAAAAATTGTTGAACGTTCAAGAATTTTTCATTCTGGAAATACAATAAGTCGGCAAGTTTCTGTAAAATTTTACTTCTTCGGGAAAAATTACGTGACAATGTCGGACTTTGTTCGGTGATGAACCTGAAAATTCACTGAACGTTTCATATTTCTTCTTTTCCATTCCTATAAAAATTGCCGGAAAACGATCCTCCATTGCGGATTATGTGAATTGTTCCGTAATTTTTATTGAATATTTTTCTTCGTGTGTCTGATACCACATACCATAGAGAGATCTATGGTATCCCTTATTTTATAATAATTTCTTGTTTCGGGGAAACCACGAAAAATGTTTGTTTTTTTTAAATTCGTTATTCGGCCAATGGATCATCCGGGAATCTCTCGTCATCTGGCAACTGATCACGGAATCCCGAATCATTTTGTATTTGGATGAGCTATTGGTCAATCTCGTCATCAATCTCTCTTTCCCTAGCATCTAGGCGTTATTCATTCAGACTAACATCAAGATTTTCCTCCTCATCATCATGATCAGACCCAACTATTGGTTCTTCAACTTCATCCAGATAGACATCCTCCACTTTTTCATTGTTGACGTGGTGAATGAGATGAATTTGAGCCAAGAATAATCCAGGAGCTATAAATATTTACATTTTACTGTGTGCTTGTATTCGATTATGTTTATTCTCCACCCAGTTTATCCTTCCAGACAGCGGCAGTACCGCTCCTAGTTATTTCTTCTGTTTGATAGAGTGTTCAAAGAACAGAAAAAAATATGATTTTGTGTGTTTCATTTCAATTCTCCGAAAAAGGCACTTTTAACGTGGATACCATAATTTGAATTGAAATACCATAATTTTGTTACGTTGGTGCCATAATCGCCTACGTTCAGGTTGGCAACGCTGCCGAGGGCTTGCTGCCACGTAGTGGGGATAGTAAGCGTGTGCGATTGGTTCACCCTATTTAGGTGAAAAAAGTACTATTAAGTCCGACTTCCACCTTAGAGGGTTACGCTGAGAAAAAAATTTATTTTTACCAAATTGGGACCGCTATTTACCGATGGTGGTGTGGTGATCGCCCTCATAACATGAACGACCGATGGTTTACTCGTTCAAACTTGTTCAAACCCTCACATTGTAGCTGATAGTAGTAGTTCCTCTTCGACTCATTCATGTCTGTATTGTTTTCAATTGTTGTACTTGAAGTTCCCATGGTATCATATTTTAGAAAAATTTGAGAATTTGCAAAGTAATTGATTGAAGTACCAACGATAAACCATCGGACGGCCATTTTTTTTAGTGCAAACGATACCCACCAGACATCGCAGCGATTTATAGCGTCCCCAATATTCATTCACTTGAGAGCATTTATTTTTTCAAAATCGTATTTCTCTAATCGAGTCATTCCCAGGCGAGTCTGATTAGGTCTCAATTATAACAATCATGTTGCTCTAGAGGATGACTATGCTGCACATGAACTTCTCCAATGATTATTCATTTTTTATGAATTTCTTATTCGAGTTCACTCGAGGTCGGGGATAACTAACATGATCATCTTCTAGAGCAACATAATTAACATAATTGAAACTTAATGAGGATTGTCTGGGAATAATTCCGCTGACAAAATACGGGAATGCTTACTGAATAATGTGGCATTATTTTGCAAGTTTATCTCCTTCATTGTAGAATTATTTGATAACACAATTTTCGAAGCAGAGACACCTCACAGAGGATGAATATTAACAACCGAGGATCGAAGTCAATCATAAAATATTCTCAGCAATATAAGAAGATATTTTTTAGGATGTACATGGCGAGAGACACCAGGCACATGTGTCCTGGAATCAGAGTTTGGTTTCACACTTAACTGTGCCTTCAAAAAATCCGGTCTCTTTCGGGTCCGAAATCTCGGGGGAGTCAAGGGCTACGTCGGCCTCGGTGAGTGTCCGACTAACTTCAAAAATGACAATAACTTCAGCTTTTAACTTGAGGATGCATCAAAAAAAGGCGTATAAAAGATTGCAGTAGTGAAAATGGTGAAGGAGGAAAACCTAAAAATTTCAGACAAACTATTTTGTTAATATTTCTGAAATTAGCGAGTTTAGTGGAAAATGTCGAAAGTTAGCATACCTATTTTTCATTTGAAAAAAGTCAATAAATTTCAGTTCTCTACATGAACTATGCTCTGAAAATTTCTTTAATAGAAATTTTCAGGTATAAGACTGCAGTTTTTCCCCCGTATTTTGTTTTATTTCTTATAAGAAGTTTCAAAAAAGAACACTTGCAATCCTTATGTCCAAACATTCTCATTGATAAAATAATAACGATAGAATAAGTTGTAAAGAAAAAGAATATCTGCTTTCATTGAAATTTATAGAATTATGAAAAAGTACCATAATTATAGAATTTTCGATAAAAATCGACAACAATCAAATCGAACTTTGAATGAGATTCTATTAGACTTTTCAAGAATTGCAATAGAATAGCAATAGAAGTTCAATAGAATTCCAAGTGAGAGCCATTAAATTTTTCTCGCAAATGCGTATTTTCCATTGAATTTTCATCTGTGGTCGGACATCAATGCTTGTTCAACAATTACTTGAAAAATAGCCACCTTCGATGAAAAAAAACATCGAACGATAAAAAAACTATGAATTATTAATTTTTCGCTGATTCTGTTGAAAAATTCCGCATCTTTTCCATGAGTTTATCCTAATGCAAAATGTCTATTAAAAACTACTTTATAAACAAACTCAATAGAATTTGATATTTCCATACAACTTTTTCTGTTGAGATATTTTCTACAGAAATCCCTAGAAATTTCTAAGTTTTTCCAACTCCATTGTTTTCGACTCATTAAAAAAATCGACCAAAAAAATGGGAAATTTAGGCAGAACAATTTCTATTAATTATTTTTGGCCATCAGATTCGGACCAATCAGAGCACATTCGATGCTATGGAGTACATCTAGATCAGAATTTCAGTGAATATTCCCTCTTAGCTTTTGATAAGTCCCCGTGAATATTTCCTTATAACTTTACACCTATGGTTAACCACATAACTGTCAAATAGCGTAATACTGCACTCTGCTTGGGCAGATCCGAAGCTTCCCGGCCGACAAATGAGTGTCTCAAATTTTGCAAAAAAAAAAATATGCCTCGTGCTTTGCATTCAGGATTTTCAGCCTGCAAAACTTGACGCCGTCGTTTGTTTGCAACGGAGCTTTCAGAAAATATTCCAATAATTTTGAATGGCTCAAGGTAAAAAAAAATCAAATTCTATGGATTTTTAAAATAAAATTTGTCAATCGAACATTGCTATCGAAAAACACGCGGAGAAAAGCTGGAGAATGTTCTACTAAACACCCAATAGAAATTCAATAAAATTTTTTCAGACATTTTCCAACAAACCCACCAATTTTCTAGATGTTTACAAAATATTCTTGACGAAAAATGCTGAATTCATTTCCTTGTAAGAGAGGCTTGCTGAGAAGCAGCTGAACCCTCGCATCGACGATATTCGTTTATAGCTTCAAGGCCAATTTTTTCATAGTCCCTGTACATGGCATATTTGCTACAACGCAGATTTGAAAAGTGAAAATGACCTTTCTAATTAAAAAAATCTAACTATAAATTAGCTTGTCCCAAATTTATCTCGTCGTGTCCTTTTTATGTTATATGCGATGTGTCAAGAACCAGGAGGTCAATTTCATCAGCATATGTGATTACAACATCCATATTTGCTTCTTTGAATAGAGAACACACGAATGGGTAACCAGTTCTATTTGTTTTGCTGATTGCACAAATGATTTATTGCATATCTTTTTAATTTGAATAAATTTATTCGTTAATTTTCCTTCCAAGTTTATAAATAGTTTTCTTCGAAAATTATTAATTATTGAGCTAATTATACATCAATGACCGCACATATTCAATTTGTTTGATTGGATGAATATATCCAAACAAAGCAACGAAATAATGAAACGCATTGGATGAAATTATTTCGAGAATGAATAATTTTCGGAGAATTAGTGTAGATTTTTAAAAATGAAATTACTCTAACTAAAAGAGGGTCTTTTGATATTTACATTAAAAATCACTCATATCCGAAATAACCACAGCAATTTTAAGTTCAACTTACTACCTTTCACTACTGCACTACGGAATTCTCAAATTTTCCAGCTAAATTAATGAATACAACTTATTATTTACCTCTTCCACGTAGTATTTACTAACACTGTACATACCTATTCGATTGCAAGCACTGGTCACCTCAACCTACTTTTATCTCTACTTACAAAAAATGAGAATCTATAACGAATTATTAATAATTCATTCCATTTAACCCAATTCGAGTATTGATAGTTACAATATTACATCAGCATGCATCATATGCGCATCCAAATCACAAATAAAAACTAGCAGAAAAAGCAGAACTGACCTGCGATCATCATCATGCATTTACTCATTGTTGTGATGACACAGTGAAAATTGCATACTGAGTGTTTTATTTAGTCACGCAATTCATCTTAATACAACAACAATTTACTGGATTATTCAATAGTGCTGTACATGATTTGCAGGGCTCAGTGTTGGTGATGAACTCGGATTTCGAGAATCATTGTCGAACCTAGAATCGAGTAAGAGAAGGAGTGTGCAAACTGGGCAAGCAAATTTCATTGGAATAACAAATGGGGTAAGGAGAAAATTAATTAGGATTTAATTATATAAATTAATCTTTCTTTTCCCGTTCAAGTCGATTGATTCAACTCGTATCCTATTATTATATATATTATATATTATATATATTATTATTTTTTATTCTATTTACTAAAGATAAAAGAAACGTGAAGTTGTTTTATATCGAAATATCTCGAAACTGCCTGACCGCTACCCTCAATTTTGATTGGTCAATGAGTCACGTGAACAGTCGCGTAAAAAAATCCCCGGTATTTTTAAATTCTTCAAATGGCAAAAAAATCTTCTGCGTCATATTTTTCATTTTTTCATGTGTGAAGTTTATCTTTATATCAAAACATATCTAAATTGCCTAATTGTTGATTCTGAGAAAATAAACATAGTATTTCTAAATTTTTTTAACACACAAATTATTCTTCACTTCCCAAATTTTAATTTTTTCATATTTATCATACGCAAAAATGATCAATTCTTGCTTCTCAGATTTTCATACATAAATCCTAAATTCTACAATATTCATGAAAATTCTTCGGTTTCCCAAATAATTCGAGACAAATCTTTGAAGAGCTACGGTTATCTGGAACACTGTGGAATTTTCCGAAGAATTCAACAAATTTTTTCAGTTTTCTGGGAAATCAATTCATAACCCTCCTCTCATTTTTCAACAATTACAGATTTTAATCAGATTATTTTAAAAAGTAAAAAAAAAAGAAGTAATCGAAGATTAAAAATGATTCATTGGTGTTTCACTCTTCATTCTCTTAATTCTCTTCAAGTCATTATCAATATTTATAAAACATCTATGAGTATATGAAGTTTAATAAATACGATTTTTTCATTTTCATAACAAACAGACGAGTGCGCGCGAAACCGCGCGCAAATGTCTACTTACTATAATAACAGACGTATGAATACGTCTGCTACTGTAATAAAAAAGAATAATGAGAAAAACCTAGGATCTTTACAAAGGGACCCAGAGAATAATCTACGAGCCTCTTATTCATTTTTGATGAAAACGCTACAACTTTTGCTGCACGTATTTTTCGCCACGAATAGTAATAAGATTGAAAACATTTTATAAGAAAAAAATCAGTAGTTTTGTATTTTCGGGTACAATTCATTTGGTTGACATTTTTCATGTAGCATTTTCATAACAGAAAATTTTTCAAGCTTTCTTTTTCTAGTTTTTCAATGAAAGATGAAAAAATAGAGCAGAATAAACTTTGCAAATGTCTGCTGAGAAATCCCAATAGAAACTACTGTTATACTGGGTGCGAACATTTGGAAGTCATACCAATAGCTCTCTGATTGCCTTTCGTTAAAAAATGCTCGAAGGCAACAGTCTGTGAAATTCCCACAAACTTATTATTCAAATAAATGGGAGCCTACTGAACCATTCTACCTTACCTCAAGGGGAGACTACTATGAGTTTTAAAAGTCGTAGAATATTGGAGTGAGATTTCTCATGCATCGCAGATCGATTATATATGTCTGAAGACGAATAATTAGTGTAAAAAAATTAATTGTTGATTTTTCGTTTGCTCCGCTGACGCTTAAAATGTCTAAAATAGTCCAGGACCTCCAATTTTTGAGCTACAAAGATTTTTTCTTCAAAATTTTTGGAAAAACGTGTACAATAACAATTACGAATTAGTTTTTTGAAATTCGACTCCTACACAACTAATTTCGTTTTGTGTAATATAAAAATTTGCACCATTCATGTAAAACAGGCAGAAAAATTATCCTATAAATATTATAACTATATTCTCGATTCTTTCCGAAATATTTTTCGGCCTTTTTTACATGAATGGTGCAATTTTGATCAAAGTGATAACGAAATTAGCTGTGTAGGAGTTGAATTTCAAAAAACGAATTCGTAATTATTATTGCACATATCTTTCCAAAACTTTTGAAAAAGTTTTGAAAAAACCTCTGTAACTCAAAAATTGGAGGGCATTTTTTACATATTAAGACTATTTTTTTTACATATTCGGACTATTTTTTACATATTAAGCGTTTGCGTGGTAAACGAATAATAAACAATTAGTTCTTTTGCACTAATTATTCATTTTTAGACATATATAATCGATCTTCAATGTATGAGAAATCTCATTCCAATAGCCCTCGACTTTTAGAACTCATATTAATCTCCCCTTAAATTGCCAGAAGATGCATCGATTGCATCATTAGTAAACTCGATCGCCTTATTGGCTCGTGAAAATCGTTAAACAAAAATATTCTTATTCCAAAACTATAGTTGTCTTCATTATTTCATTCTATATGGCTTTAATAGCTATTCTTCGTAACTTTCATTCATATGACCTTTCATGCTATTACCAATTTGTCATCTATGTACCTCGAAGGTTGGGGGAACAGGGCTCAGAAAGTTTCCAATCTTTTTTTGTTATAATGCAATATCCTTAAGAAACTATAAATTTAACGTATTTTTTCATATCAATCAAATCAATGTGAAAATCGAACATTCACTTTTTTACGGTCTTTTGAACTCATGTTCTTTGAGCAGTTCCCTGCTGATCTCTAACGAAATCCTTTCTCCATTTTTGTTTTCAAGTATATATTTCATCGTTTTAAATTCGTCGAGATCCAACACGAAATTAGGAATTGGATATTCGAATTTTCACTCTCGAGAGTGAATCAAGGCCATTTGTCATGAACAATTGTTACCGAATGCGACTATATTTCCTTACTCTTACCATGCGCCCAGTTTTTCGAAAATTTACTATTGGAGTATTTTATATTTACGATCTCCTGGAAATGCGAAACGTGTAAGAAAAAATCGTTATGTTTATATTCAGGAGTGGTGAGTAGTAGGGAGTTGGGGAAGGCTTCACATCGGCGAAAAAGCGATCAATAGGAAACGCGACTAGGGTGAACTGGTCAATTTCTTGACGGAGTTCAAAGGGCTACTCACTCCATAATTGAGTGACACCATGATTTCGGTAATTTCAAGCGTCACGAGAAGTGATTTCATGATTTCGAATAATCTCATTAATTCGAAATCAGTATACATTCACATTTAATTAATTAATTTACTATTCTTAAAATATTTAGGCTTTCATTTGGAGTATTTATATCTATATTCTATATACTAGGAGAGAGGAGAGATGCATGCTATCCATCCATTTATTCGAAAAATAGCCTACAAATATTAAGTCGGTTCCGAATTTAATCAGAGCCCCGATGTTCGGCAAGCAGATATTGGGCCGATGTTTGGCCTTTAATCAGAACCCCGATGTTCGGCGAGCACATATTGGGCTGATGTTTGGCTTTTCATCGGGCATCGATGTTCGGCGGCCGGGTATTGGACCGATGTTTGGCCGTATTGTATATATCGACAAATCCTACATGGGCATGTACGGGCGAAAAAATACATCATAATCCTGCGCGAGTCTTTTCACAAATTAGTATGCTCCTTACTAGTCGCGCATAGAGTAAAAAGTTACCTAAAAAGTACATGGAAACCACATGGAAATTACACTGTTTAACATAATTGTGACGCATCGCTATTACTTCGCCGTAATCACTGTTCCCCGCTTGAATTTTTAGGGACTATCACAAAAAATTACGTTCAATCCATAAAATTTCCAAAACTCAAGAGGGAAAATTTATTTTCATCACACTGTCCGTAAATGAATCTACGTAAATATCATTTATGGACATTTATTGTTTATTTATTGTCATGTAAACGCCGTTTACGGGCATTGTGAAGACAAATTATGTTCGCCACTCAGCCGAAAACAACTTTTCTGACTCGTGGGATTGCATTTCTCGGCTTCGCTTCGTTCTGCAACTCTTACATTCATCACAAAAGTTTTTTTCGGCCTTGTGACGAAAATAGCTATTTTCGCTTGACATTTTCTTCGTATTTTCATGTAAAAATTCTCAAACGAGTATTCCGGCTTACTTTTACGTTTTGTAACGTAATTTTTCCTACAGTTTTTTCTCCTTTCCGGGAGCTTGTTAATAGAAAATACTCTGACAGTAAATTTTCGAAACAAATATAGTCCCATTCACCGAATCGGCTTCCCCTACAGCCCCAGGCGCGCTACTATAAATCGTCCTCACGTTTCAGGGCTCCCAAAATAGTGATCCTCGGCAAGGCCTCCAAGGCACTCGAGCTGTCCCACCTTTCAAACCTCTACCACCAGGAGCATCGCGGCCAATGGCCCCGCAGCCTGAGCACCAGAGATTGGTCGTGCAACAAAACTCGACGGCCTTGAAAACTATTCCAGCACCTTCACTAGCTGCGTTACAAGACGCGGCTATGCGCCAGCACCAAGTCCAATTACAACAACAAAAAACTATAATGCAACAACAGAAAATTCTACAGGAGATGAATCTGCGTCAGCAGCAGAAAGCGCATCAGGACGCACTGGCTGTGCAAATTCTTAAGGAGCAGAAGCAGCAACAGGCAGTTGCTAACAAGCAAAAATTGGTAGAGCAGCAACAAATGTTGAATTTACAGACCAAACGGATACAGGTGATTTGATATCCAAAATAGACTAAACTTATTCACCCATATTCTATACAGAGACGATCTTTTTCACGACCGATCCTTTTGCCTCAAGGATATTAAAGAGGGTGCTTTTTGAAGTGGAAAGTTCCCCTTCCACTTTTGGATCTAAGCACTTTGGTTTTGGTCTGACATTTTCATCTTTTGGTCTATTTCTACTGATTTCAGGAGCGTATCTTCATTTTTTACCATTGTTCCTATTTTTTTCCTTTTTGCTTCCGAATAGAAGCATTGTATTCCATGGATTTTTCGATTTTCTAATTTTACGTGGAAATGATGTAGAATGGTCTGAAACGTAAAAATACAAAGATTGACGACTGTGTCTGTATGTGCGCATGGTCAACTTGGCCGACTTGATGGCCAACTTTTAGAAAATCGAAGGAATAAACGGTTAAAAAAATTCAAAAAAATCTGAAATTTCGTGAGATTATAGTTATAAATGTGGACTAACTCTGTGCACCGGTTCAGCTGAATCGGTCCAACCGTTTTCGAGAAAAAGCCATTTGTTTCGTAAATATCTCGGAATCTATCCATCCGATTTCAATTTTTTTTTCAAAATACTCGCCTCGATATCTCCTATCTCAATTAATCAAAATATCTTTATCCGTTTATACTAAATTTGTCTGAGATATTTCAATTTTTCCATTTTTTGCTCAAAATTCTTGTTCGCACGCTAGTTATTTTTTAAATGAATATATCAACTTGAAATTTGGCACAAGTCTGCCTCTTAGTACTGCAATGGATGGGATTGAAGATGGACTGAATTGGATGATTAGTTTAGGAGATATTCAACACTGTATCAAAATCGTTTTTCGTAAATATCTCAGTATCTATCCATCCGATTTCAATTTTTTTTTTCAAAATACTCACCTCGATGTCTCCTATCTCAAACAATCAAAATATATATACCCATCTATACTACATTTTAGAGATATTTCAATTTTTTCTATTTTCGATCAACATCCTTGTTCGCACGCGTTATTTTTTAAATTGATATATGAACTTGAAATTCAGCATGAGTTCTCCTTTTGCCACTACAATGGATAATATCAACGATGAACTGGATCTGATGATTAATTTTTGCTTCCGAATGGAAGCTTTGCATTCGTTCGATTTTCACTTTTGCTAATTTTGCGTGGAAACGATCCAGAATGGTCTGAAACGGAAAAATACGAAGTTTGGGGACCATGTCTGTGTGTGATAGTGTCCACTTGGTGGTCACTTATTCTTAAAATTAACGAATAAACGGGACAATTTATTCCAAAAAATCTGAAATTTTGTCAGTTTATTGGAATCATTTGGGACTAACATCATGTCAAAATTCAGCTGGATCCGTCAATTAGTTTTTGAGAAATAGCCATTTGTTTCTTTACGCTTTTTCCTAAATATCTCGAGAACTACTCAACCGATTTCATTTTTTTTTCAAAATATTCCTCTTGGTGCCCTCTATCGCAATCAATCAAAATATGTATAACCGTTCATAGAAAGTTTTCGAGATATTTCGATTTTTCTCTTTTTAATCTAAAATCGTTGTTCGCACTCTAGCATTCGCAAAAATGGAGATATCAACTTGAAATTTGGCATGAAGTTGTCTCTAGCAGTAAAAATGGTTCGTATTGAAAATAGGCTCAATCGGATAATTACTTTCTGAGATATTCAACTTTATATGTAAATCTCATTTTTTAAATATCTCAATAATGAGTCAACCGATCCTAATTTCAATTATTCAAGAATATTCGTCTTGTTTTGTAATGTCTATGTCCTTTTTTTATATTTTTCATATCTTTTTTGAAATCTTTTTTGATCGTTTATTTATCCCTTTTTCAACCTTTTTTTATTCTTTGTTTTTTGCTTTTTTGTAATGTCCTTCCTTTTCTTTTATTATTCCTATCCTTTTCTAAATCTTTTTTCGCCATTTATTTATCCCTTTTTGCTTCCGAATGAAAACCTTGTAGTTGAGAGATTTTTCGATTTTCTAATTTTGATGGCAAATGGTCTAGAATGTTATGAAACGTGAAGAAATGATGTTTTCAGGGTCATGTATAAATCTGTATGTATGTATGTTATAACTTGACAATTCAACATATCAAAAATACGGTGAAATTTATCGATAAAACTCTGAAGTTTTGGCTCATGGTAGCCATGATTAAGCTTCACTTTGATATGCATTTTCAGCCCGATCGGTCCAGTAGTTCCTGAGATATAATAACTTCTTTAAATTTCGTTTTTCCTCAATATCTCAAAATCTACTCCACCGATTTCTATATTTCTTTTTTTCAAAATACTCATTTCGATGGCCTCTATCTAGATCAATCAAAATATATATACCCGTCCATACAGAGATATTCCCGTTTTTTCGTTTTTTTAATTTTTTCATTCGTGTACGCATGATATTTTGAGAAAAAATAAAAATAGTAAGTTGAAATTTGGTGTGATTATAACGCTTACAATATTGGAGATTCGCATTTTGGATAGGCGCAATCGGCCGAGCAGTTTCGGAGATATTTAACCTTTTGTACAAATCTATTTCATTAAAAGATTGAATATCTTCCTGTACACCGAGAAAAAAAATTATTTTTGCCAAATATTCATTTACTTGAGAATCCCTCCAATGATCATTTATTTTTCCTAAATTTCTTATTTTCTAGAGGGAAGAATTTCGATCAATTTTTTAATGTAGATAATTATTGAAGGATTTCACTCACGGTCATAACTAACTTGATCACTTTCTAAAGCAATATGATTGACATAATTTTAATCTAATGGGGTTCGCCTAAGAATGACTCGAACGGAGAAATACGGTTTTGAAAAAATAAATCCTTCTCTCAAGTAAATGGATATTTGGCAAAAATAATTTTTTTTCTCAGTGTAGACATCCTGTAGCATCTGGTTACGGTTGTATACCTGGCACAAGGACAGGGAATTGCTACGGATCCATTCGGAAGCTTACTACCAATGGAATTGGTAGAAATAAAAAAAAAGAAAAGGACTAATAACGCANTTATTTCAAGACGTTTGATGCCTACATTGCAATCATCTACGACTGTACTCCCCTTCTGTACTTCTTGCCCTATCGCGCCCAAAATAATTTTCCACAAAGCGGGAAAAAAGCGTTCAGATCCAAAAAAGGAAGGGGAACTTTCCACTTTTTTCAATATTTTTTCAACCACTGAATTCAAAAGTGAGTGGTAAGACATTAATACCAAGCCCCACCAGCACTTCGCACTGCCCAGTTTTCATGACAGGAATGGAACTAGTATGAACTCCACAAAGCCCGAATTATATTCAAATTTTATACTTTATTATGGCGTGGGCCCTCCATTTTAGTATTACCCTATGTAGAGTGAACAGTCTAATTATGAAACACTCAAGGTTCTTCGGAAGTTCAGAGGGTTCCATGACTAATCAACACAAACGGTATTTCCAATGTTGAAAAAATTGTGTAAAAAGCCTCAAAAAAATTCTAATTTTCAAGTATTCGTATTAATACTTGGCTGAACCGCTCATATATTGATATTAAATAAATGTTATATGAAAAAATAAAAATATTTAATAGTTGTTCGAGAAATTGCTGAATCTCACTCCATCGCCTTCAGTGTTGACAATTTTGTTAAAAATAGATGAATATGGAAGACATTAATTTAAGATAGATGAATTAATTGGATTACGGCCCGCTGTGGTCCCTGGGACCTCAATAAATATATACCCTCCGCTTAGGTACTGCTAGATTGGTTACCATATGAAAGAAAGCCCGCTGTGCGTCGTTTTTCTTTAATTACAATTGACAGGCTAACCGGAAAAATAAAAAAAATTGACTTTGTCAATTGAAGTGTCTAAAGAATTATAGTAGTTTTTAGAATAACATATTTCGCAAAATTCCTAAAGAAAACAAATTATTTCGAACAAATGAATTATTTTTTCCCATGTTGGATGAAATTGCCTGTTGCGCGACGTTGCCGAAAACTCGTTAAACGCGCCCGGGCAGTGTAGAGTGAATTCGGCAACGCTAGAGCCAAAGAGGATTGACTAAAGTAGAGGCTCAGATCTTCTTCTATTCGTAATTGGTTATATCCTTTAACAGCAGTAGAGGCAAGCACCAAGAGGCTCAGATCTCGGGGTTGGACTGACCCCAAGCCAAAAGTAGTTCGACCCCAACGGAGGGATACCGCCACGGTCAAATCTGACGGCTGGGCGAACTGCCTGTGCGGGTAACTCGGCAGTAGCAGTCCGGCTGTCACAGGGATAGTTTCAGAGGGGAAGTTATGTCCTCCTCGTCCTCAACATGTTCTTAATGTTTTTCAGGTGATTCATTTGCTGGCTAATTAATATTAAGGAATGAAACACAGAGGGTGTGACGGAGAATTAAATTCCCCATCAATCGATCCTCGTTGCATCCCTTAATCTCTGTAACAAAAAAATACAAACTACGACAAAGTCATGGGCCAGTGAGAAATAGTACATTACGCAACTAGTCCGGAAAGCAGGCGCTTGAAACCCGCTACTTTCCAGTTGACTATAGTCAACTGAAACCCATGCGGTTACACGCACGTATCATATAAAATGATTTGCGCCTACCCACACTCAACTGAAACCCACTGTTCTAACAGTTGAGTGTGGGTAGGCGCTTGAAACCCGCTACTTTTCAGTTGACTATAGTCAGCTGAAACCCGAAATAACGCATGACACGCATGCGCATCACCTATTAAAAGAGAATAACACGGAAGGAAATCTAACCTCTGAATAGTGAATACATGGAATGACTGAAAAATGAAAAGGTGATTTTCGAAGCAGATAAAATGAGCCAAAATCGTATAATTCCTGATAGTGATGAAGAGTTAGGCAGTGAGGAGAATTTATTTACTGATGAGGAGGAGTTTATTGGTGATGTGACATTTGAAGAAAATGGAAATAAAATATTCTCCGATTTTTCAATTACGTTTTGTATCATATTTTTTTATAATTATAAC